TTCACTGTTTCTCTCACGACAGGGAGGAAACTTAGCGTTCCTTGGAGACCTGAAGGGATGCAGTGAGCATAAAGAATTTTCTAGAGCTTATCAGTCAGTCAGCCCTTGTTCATCCCTGAGCAGATGTGTGGTGGTATTGTGGTGAACCTTTACTGGACACTCTGCCAAATAACTGGAGTGACACTTGTGGTTTAGTCCAATTGGCTATCTCTTTCACCCTGGCATTTCATCAACCAGCGGAAGGAGAAATAAGACATTGTAAAGCTAGAGAAGCCCCTTATGGGTCTTTCAACTCTCATGTCTATTTAGACACAATTAGAGTCCCATAGGGAATACCAGATCAATTTAAAGCTTGAAATGAAATAGCTGCAGGATTTGAGTCAATAGTTTGGTGGGTGACAGTTAATAAAAATGTAGATTGAATAAACTACATCTACTACAACCAACAGCGATTTATTAACTACACTAGAGATGCTGTTAAAGAAATAGCTGTACAATTAGGGGCTACTAGCCAGATGGCTTGGGAAAATAGGATAGCCTTAGACATGGTATTAGCAGAAAGAAGAGGAGTTTGCATCATGATTCAAATTCAATGTTGCACTTTCATCCCAAACAACACTGCCCCTAATGGAAGTATAACAAAGGCATTGCAAGGTCTGACTGCTCTATCCAATGAGTTAGCTAGCAACTCAGGGGTAAATGACCCCTTTACGGGATGGCTAGAAAAGTAGTTCGGTAAATGGAAAGGAATAATAGCCTCAATTCTCATTTCCCTCGCAACTGTAATAGGATTACTTATTCTTTTCGGGTGCTGTGTCATACCATGCATCTGTAAGTTGGTGAAGGGGCTCATAGAAATGGCACTTACTAAAACTTCCCTTAACTATCCTTCACCTTATCCAAAGAAGCTTCTTCTTTTGGAAAATCCAGTAGAACAAATAAGCCAAGACATGTTTTAAAAGTTTGAACAGCAAAATCTGTAAGGAAATGCAAGAGGAGGGATTGTTAGATATAAGTTCTAAATTTCTCTTCAAAGATTCAGTATGTCAGTATGTTTAACTCTTTGCCTCCTACTTTTAAACTTAACTTCCTCATAAAGCAACCTTTTTCGATTACCTACTCCACCCTGGCTCATTCTGATTACCTGCTACCTGCCCTGCTCTGACTCATTCTTCACCCTGCACAACCATTTTTTTTTCCCTCCAAAGCACTCACCCCGTCACTCTCTTTAGCCAATTGGAATTAGTTTAGCCTGTGTGGTCTAACCCTAGCCAATAGGGGAATGATACAGCAGCAGGGGCCACGTGCGTCAGGGATGAGGACTTCTTCCCCTCCCTTGTCCAAGTGTGCACTCGCTGCTGCTCCATCTGTAATGCGCACCCTTATATAGAAGCACTTTGCCTTGCTGAGAAGTAAAAGAAAATTTTATATTTGAGTGCTATTTATTTTGTGGCACTGAAACTTTATATATAACATTAATCTTATTTGTGTATGCATATATTTATTTTTATCAGACATTCATTCACTGCCAAACACCTACTGTAAGTCAGCAGCATGTGTTGGAGATAGAGAGGTAGTAAGACAGATGGGAATTCAGGCTTCCCAAACCTTGGGTCAATTTGGGTAAATTAATGGGGACTAAACATTTAGAAAATAACCCCTATTGTATTTTATGGGAAGAACTGAGTTGGTAGTGTTATAAATAAAGTTTTGGTGCCACAAAAGAAATTGTACTCAAATATAAAATCTTCTTTTTAATTCTCAGCAAGGCAAGTTACTTCTTTTTTTTTTTTTTTTTT